ATCTATCTATCTATCTATCTATCTATCTATCTATCTATCTATCTATCATCTATTTATCTATCATCTACCTAGCAATATCTATCATCTATTTATTTATCATCTACCTATCAATATCTATCATCAATCTATTTATTTATCAATATCTATCTATTTATCTATATCTATCTATCATCTATTTATCTATCATCTACCTATCAATATCTATCATCTATCTATTTATTTATCAATATCTATCTATTATCTGTCTGTCTATCTATCTATCTATCATTTATCTATGTGTGTGTCTACTTGGTGTGTGTGTATACATGTGTGTTCTGTGTGCATGTGTGCATCTGTGTGTGTATGTGTGTCCACATGTATATGGGTATGAATGTACATACATCCATGGGCATGCGTAGGCCTAAGGTCAATGCCTGGAATCATCTTCAATGGCTCGCCAAGTTTATTCAATGACTTTCAATCAATCCCAAACATACCCATATGTGTATTCTCCAAAGTCAGCTTGCTCTGGTGATCCCTAATGGCTGTTTTGGCTTCCAAAGATGGAACAACAGGTAGGCTGCCACACCTAGGATTTATGTGCACTCTGGAGTTCTGAATACTGACCTTAGATTTGCATGACAAACTCGTAGTCACTTGGCAATCACCCTAGCCTGTTTCAGAGATTCAAGTCCATGGTCACTTGGTTATTTGAGGGAAAGAACATAAAAAACACTGAGAAGGCAAGAAGCAGGTAGAAGGAAATGGCTCAGCATTTTAATGATGTAACTCTGGTGATGGGGGCTACTTTCTTCATTCAGGTCCTTCTCAGAGTGCCCATCCAGATAGGAAAACTCAACACTGACTAATGTACCAATTACACTATTATGTCGGAGGTCTTATGATCCAGTCACTTCTCAAGGCGTCTGTGAGCTGGAGACCAAGCCTTCGACACATCTGGATAATACTTCATAGTCAAAACACATCAGTCTGTCACTTAAAGTTTAGCTGTCTTGGTTAGCAGATAGATTGTCAACAATGCCACAGTGCTTCTGTTCAAGTATATTTTACTTAATCACGGTCTCAAGCAAGAGAAGTGATGATGTCATTTTGGAACTAGTGAAAAGAACCTTTAAATGATCAGATTCTCAAATTGTGTTCTGGGTGGTTTGGAGATTCCCCCAAAGATCCATGTGTTAAAGATTTGGTCACAAGTCATTGGTGTACGGGAAATGGTGGAACATGTAGGAGATATGGACCACCTAGTGGGAGGAATTTGGGTTACTGGGAGCATAACTTAGACTCCACATTTTCCTGCCTTTCACTTCATTCTCCAGCCAACATGAGGGGAATATGGCCTCCACCATGCTGTACTGTCTTGTCACTGGTCCAAGAGCAATGGGCTAAACTCTGACACTGTCATCAAGAATATCGCTTCCTGTTATGAAATTGATGATCTCCAGGTTGTCACAGTGAAAGGAAGCCAACTGACACAGCTGAATAAGGAAAGAAAAAAGTGTGGACCGAGCTTTCAAAATGGTATAGTAGGAATTGATCTTTTATCTGGAGAACTGAGAAGAAAGAAGCTCATGTTGAGTTTGCTGTCATACCTCATAGTGCATGGCTTACAGCCATCAGACAGAAGGGGAGAAATAATTTAGCTGTGCCCGGGCAGAAAGCATATTTGAACTGATGGCAATGTGTTACAGCAGACACTGAAGAAGTCAACTAAGAAGGACGGAAATCATCTAAAACAAGTCTTCAGTTACAGTGAAACTGCTTCTTCTGGAAGAACACCTCAAGTAGAGCCCACAAGAAAGTGCAAAGGGGCACCAGACCCAGAAGCGTGGGAAGTGACAAATACAGGGATTGCGTGCCAAGTAACAGGGCACGAAGGACAGAGCAAAGAACACGGCTGCCTTGGAAAACACAATAGAAAGTATTATTCTGAAAAAGAGATCACGTTTATGTAACTTTTATTATAGCACACTGCTACAATTGTCCTTTCTTTAAAAATCAGTAATTGCAACTCTTAGTCTCCTTAATTTGTAAAATACATATGTAAAGGTAAGAAAATAGCACAAACATACACGAACACATGCACACGCATGCATGCAAATATACAACACACCCATGCGTACACAGGTATACACACATACATGTATGCACCCATTTGCACACATGATCACACATGCAAACACACACACACATGACATCCTGTGTTAGGATCAGCTGTTACTCTGATGCTCCACCGACCTCCCAGCTCTCATCTGTGTTCCAGACTCACCAGAGAACAGATCATGTCGGCATAACATCAACACAAATCATATTGTTTCTATAAAATTTTTAAAAGATACTTTCTTTGCATGTTCACACTAATGAAAGTGGCCAACAACATGCGCTTTGCTAATGCGTCAGCAAAGCTCAGCAGCCTCTGAATGGGACCCGAGGACTCCGGACTGGGCACTAGCTGCCAGGTGATTCTGCACTGATAACTTCATCCCAGCCTCAAAACCACGGGAAAGTCCTTTTGTGCAGTGCAGATCCTGAGGTCTGCTGTAGACAGACCTCCTGTCTACAAAGACAGCCTGTCCTTTGTATGCCAGCTGTCATGGCAAAGCCAGGAGACCCATCACCTCATCTGCAGTCATGGGTCTCCATGGTTCTGCTGATGCTGCTGTGGAGTCTACAGGATTGGGTCCATCATGATGCCCAGCGGAGTAGGCACTGAGTGGCTTCTAGGACTACACACACCATCCCTGACATTCATTTACGCACCTATCCGAATTGGAGTTAGCAAACTACCGCATGGTCTTCAATAAGTTGCTCACAGCCTCTTCCTTGACCTCATTTCTCTACGAGTGTTTTACAGATAGTCTACATGCCAGTATCAGTTACATTTCTCCAGCTGTGACTGAAAGCCATGACCAAGGCAATGGGCAGAAGGAAGGGTGCATTTGTTGGTGATGGCTGCAGAGTCACCACCTCTGAGACACCCTGTGCAGACATTCCCTTTGGGCTTTGCCCCTTTTGGCATCTCAGAACTCCACATCTGACTCTGAATTCTTGGTCCTGCCCCCACTTATACACAAACATTAAACCTGGTCTTTTTCACATTCTCTTAGGTAAGAGGGACCACTCTCCCTTCAGCTGTCTAAGCCTTCTTACTGCCTACCTCCGTCCTCAGTGTCCAGTCTGCCCATCTGTTTCAGACCAGACCACTGCACGGGTGGTGTGGGAGAATTGTCTGTATTCTGTCAATCATGTTTTAAATAAAACGCTGATTGGTCAGGCAGGAGGTGTAGGCGGGAAAGCCAGACAGGACATGGAAATGATGCAAGGAGAGCAGAGAATTCTGGGAAGCAGGAAGTTGATTCCTCCCACTCCTGGCCAGATCACCAAAGCAGCAGGATGTGAGCTGCCCCACTGAAAAAGGTACTGAACCACATGGCTTACATAGATCAGAAAAATGGTTTACTCAAGATGTGAGAGTTAGCCAGTAAGTAGCCTGACCTAATGGACCAATCAGCATTAAAACTTATAGAGATCTGTGTGATTGATTTTCATTGGGGCTAAACAGCTGGGGGAACTGGGCAGGACAAAAACACAAACAAACAGGCCCAGCCTTTTCATGTTACACACGGGCTGAGCTCTCTTCTTCTGTGTCCTAGAAAACTTCCATAGTTTCCCATTGATCAACTCTGTACCGATTCTACCCACTCCCGTGAACCCGCATGTCCTGATTCAAACCCACCCATGCCCTGTTCTGACCATAGGCTCCTTGTCCACACAGCCCCCAACTCTTGCCACACAGCCTCACTCCCTTGCTGGTGTTCTTTTTCCCTTCCAGGACTCTCCAGACACTGCCTTGTGCTCCAGGATTCAGTCACCTTCCTTATCACAGACACCTTCTGCCCATACAACTGTCTTTACAGCATTTGTCGGAGACACAGTTGATAACTGTTGTCATGGTCACCTGACTGATCTGTCTGCCCGACTAGAGCGTGAGAGTCAATAGAGACAGAAGATGCTTCTGTTGGGTAAGCAGTGGGTCCCAACATCTGACACAGCGCTTACTAAGCAGAACACTAACTATGATGTCGGTCATGTAAATAGAACGAACAAATGAATTAATTGGCTCTGGTATTTGTGTTCTTTACTATAATAGAAGCAAAGACCTAAGTTTTTCAGGTAAATTCTAGAACAGAAGAACCGGGATTTTTTTTCAGATCTTGTCAAATGAGACAAAACGGTTCTGCCCATCCTTCTTTGACCCATCCACAGTTCAGCTGACTTTCTGAACACACACTTTTGGGCACAGAATAAATGTTCTGTAAAACATCTGGCGATGGCTGGTAGTGAAGAAAGAAGAGTCTTGAGTATGTGTTCATTGGTCTGTAATATTTGTCCATTGAACCAAAAGGACATATGAACAATCTTTCAAGAGTACCAGAACTAATTCCCTTCAGGCAACCCTGGGAGGAAGTAAGACTTTTAATTGTGTTTTGGAATATAGTAAGTGTTTGGATAAGAAAGTCCCTAGTTATGAATGCACAGGAAGAACATCAACACTGGCCCTCAGCTCTGGTTCTCAAGAGCAGGCCCATGACCCTTGGCTGAAAATGCATCCTTCATCTGGATGTATGTGTGTTCATACATACCATAGCCCCAATAAACATGCAAAAATCTATCACTGTATCTCAAGCTGGCAATTAGGACTATATTCCCCATGTGGTTCTAAGGCATGTAGGTGATCTCAATCTCTGCTATCAAATCATTTCTCAAGGTACGACCCCAGCAAGTGGGCTTTCACAGGATGACCAAGTATGGTGTTTGTACCATCCACTAGGCGCTAGCTGTGTGAGCCTGGGAAGGTTACCTGGGCTCCATGTACTGCCTTTTCCCCATAGTTAGAAGGAAAGAGAGGGAAGAGGCTAAGCAGCGGATGAGACTTAGACAATAGATAGAAGAGAGCTTTGAGAAGCCAACGGAGCAGTGCCTGCAGAGCCTGGGACTCAGCCTGCAGAGAGCAGGATGAGCCGGCCTTCACCCGGTCATTATCCCTCTCGCACGTGGTAAACCAGATGAACAACATGGGAAAGGAGGCAGTGAAAACAGTACAGGGCTTCCTACTCGTCTCAGAGAGGACAAGTTACAGAGAAGTAAAATGCTGAACAGCAGACCAAATCCTTGCCTCAAGGAGACCTATATAAAATCTCCATGATTTTTATTTGTTAATAAAAAGTAGTCAGTAGGGATATAAACTAACAGAAAATGTTTTGTAAGAATAGGCAAGGTCGTGAAGGTAGTAAAAGCATCATTGGACAACACGACATTGTAAATGATTACCTCCAGTACTCTTGCTACTCAATTTGGAATAAAAAGTGTAAAGACACAAGATATTTTTTAAGACAGAGCCTCACTGTGCAGTCTTGGTTGTCCTGGAACTCACAGAAAATCTGCTCACTCTTCCTCCCAAGTGCTGGTATTAAAGTTGTGTGGTGCTATGGTCCATCAAGAAACCAAACATGCATGTAATCAATCCTGTCTCCATCTTCCTGCATAGAAACTAATCACAAATGGTTCAAAGACCTCAACTTAAAACCAGAAGCACTGAAACTTCCAGAAGCAAACACAGACAGTACCCCATAGAATACAGAAGCAGGTAAGGACTTTGTGGGTACGATTCCAGTTGCTATGGAACCAAGGCTAACAATTGACAACCGGAACCTCATGGAGCTACTAAGCTTCTGTTCAGCTAAGGAAAAAATCAAGTGGAGAGGAAATTCATAGAATGGGAGAGAGTCTTTGCCACCTATACAGCTGACAGAGAATTAATATCTAGAATACACAAAGAACTAGAGAAACAGAGTAAAAACAATAACAAACAACTCAATAAAAAAAATTGTAAACGTCACTGACTACCCAAGGTAATAAGGACAAAAATCTTAGAGGAGAATCAATCATCACAATGTCCCTAAACTCGCGCAATTCCTGCCCGCGTTCTAAACGCCTTTCCTGACGTGCAAAGTGCAGTGCTTGCTTCTCACCTGGGAAACTTCCTTTTCAGAAGGTTGTCATGGCAGTTACAACCAGTCAAAATGCAACAAGTGACTGTGGTATGCCCAGCCCCAGTGGGTAACATCTACAACATAACTCCTGCGCACAAAGCCTGGGGAACATCAAGGAGGAGGGGACCAGACATTCACCTGTGAGACTACAGCTTGTAGCTATAGCAGAGAAATATATTAACGAGATATTAATAATAGGGAAGCTTAAATAAGACCTGGGCAATTCCAACAACAGTGGGCACCCCAAAGCAGATGGAGGAGATCTTGTGGTATTTCACCCCTTGATGCAGAGCTACAAGCGATTAAGGGTTACAGAGAGAGAAGGAGGGGTTAGTGTCTCCAGTAGCTGAGCCCCTTATTGGCTATGCAGTGTATGGGGCAGCAGGAGACACACACATGCAGGTAACCCTGCAGGAACTCAGCAGCCTGTATTTATGTTTATTCATTTACACGTGTATGTTACAACAATAAAGAAAAGGAGGCTTGAATGGGGGCAGGCAGACACTGGATGCGTAGGAAGAAACCAGGGACTAAGAAACGATGTAATTATATTTTAATTAAATTTTAAAAATTAAAAAAAGTTCCAGGCTAGGCCTCAATTGGATAGTTGTTATAAACAGTGAGCCACTATTTGGAGAACAATGATTTGAAGAAAAGACATAGTTATTTCTCTGTTCTTTTCACCAAGATAAAACTGCATAACTGACTTCTTGCTGAATTCTGCCCTCATATACTTCCCTGTAACATACTGAAGAAAGCTTTTAGACACACACTAGTCCAGGCTGACTAACCTTAGCTTTCAACTCCAAGTAGACACTGCTTGTGTTCACCATTGAGAAACCAATTAACCTTGTCCCCTCCTCACAAGTATGAAAGTATTAATAACTTCATGATTTTTACAAGTGAAGAGCAAGCAACTTTCTTCCATTTCTGCAAGGAGTGACATCCTCTATCATTGACACTTGCGTATGATAATTTCTTACAATCTACTTTTAAGCCATTTAACAAAATCTGCAATTTTTCAAAATACAAATCTGATTCCAATATACACAAACCGTTTTATATTTGCAATTGGAATAGGACCTCCATTGTTTCCCATTAGCTGGGTGGCTGCTGCTGTGGAGGAAATCACTGCTGATTTTTAATGGAGCTATTATTTAATATATATTTATTATTTCTCTAAAGGCAAAAGCATGTGTTTGGGGTGAGTTCTGTTTAGAGGGGGAAAAAAAGCAAAAGGAGGGTCTCTTTCTATCTGCTAGAACTCGTTCTATAGCTATTTGGGGGACAACTGGAGTATCGTGGCTTGCCATGTTGAAAGAGTTGTAATTGATACACTGATAGTAAAGAACCATGACCAGGGATGTGGGCCCGGTTAATGTTGCTGTTTTCCTTCTGCCTATGGTCACCGAGATAAACAGATGTGAGGAACAGAGGCAGCAGCCACTGCCAGGATGGTAGACGGCTGAGAGAGCCTTCAGGGTTGACCTTAGGACTTTCGCTCAGCTCCCCGGTGCTCTAGGCTTCACAGTTACACAGCAGCAACCTAATTATGCTGACAGAACAAAGGAATGCGAACTAAAATCTTGCCAACCTAGTAGCAGTGAGATGCCACTGAGGTCATGGTCTAAGTTCATCTCTTCAGTCAATTATTCAGTATCAAGATTCCAATAACTTTCCATGGGAGGACAGATTCAGGGGACAAATTCAATCCCTGGTTACCTGCCAGTAGCAGACTGACTTTACTCTGTGGTGCAGACTCCGGCCACGCCCGAGGCGGAGCCACTTTATGTAGTGGGCTGGAATTGCTGAAGAAGGCAGTGACTGCCTTAACGCAGGGTGTCCTCGGGACCATCGAGCTGCATGAATGGATCCTGTAATCAACCAGTGCCCTACTTCATAGGCATGGTTTCCAATCTATTGAATTAAAAGTTCCTGGCTTTGCAGGATGAATGTTAATAGTGGGGAAATTGGAAGTGGCAGTTTGGTTGCTGGAGCAGATACTGCAGATAGCATGGGGGGGTCCTGTAATATTCCCCATCAGTTAGCTATTGTGTCTCATTAAATACTGATGGCATACATCAGGCTGCTGAGCTTGGGGCTGGATTGCTGACCAGCCTTCCTCATGGCTTCTCTAATACTGCACTGTCCAATTAGAAAATACCAGCTTTGAAGCTTTCTGAAAAGGAACTGGAGGCCATTCCGGACACTTACTAAGAACTCGCAGAAACACTTAGTCACGGCTAAAAGGCTTCTGTCAAACAATCCACAAACATTTTTCTTTGATGGAATAGGCTAAAACGTATGAAAATACATCACTCCCAATAGCATACCTTGAGTTGGATATTCTCGTAAAGTGGTACTCTCACACTGATCAATACCATTTAAAACACTGTTAAAATAATAGCTGTAGAGTTCAGCAAGTCTAAATCAGAAAGCAATAAAATGCACTCAGAAAAAATTTCAGTATCAGATTAATAGCATTGAATGAAACATAGCAGTTAATACATAGCCAACTTTAAATTAATCAGTCTATTACAACCAACGTGGATCGGCATTTCTTCCCTGATAGACAGGGCTTAATGGAAAGCAAGGCTTATTGGGCTGAATGTCTTTTGTAGAATAATACATGACACCCTCACCCAGTTCAGCAAATGGAGGGGAAGGTCACAGGTCTTGAAAGATCAGCAAGCTATAAAAGCCACACATCTTTCCGCTTCATCTTCAGAGGGAAAGGGAAATCTGTTTAAATCTTACAAATAATTAACTTCTTACTTAGTCAACAGTGACAAATCTTCTGTTCAGGAGTCCCAATGTTTGTTTTCAGGGAAAGGGAACGTTAACAAGCTGGGAAATGCATTGCCATGGCTGAAACTGCAGTGCAACCTTAGCACTGCGTACTCCTTCGCTCCAGAGCACACTCGCAAGCACTGTTTACAGCTGAGAAAACCCCAGCCAAAGTTCTGTCACCTCCGACTTCCACAGCAAGTGTCCCACTTGAGAGAAGAAGCCCAACACATAAATATGCAATTACTGCTCTGCTCTTATTTACCAAGCCTTCCCTTTCCAAATGGCCTAAGTTGAGTCTTATATATTCCCAGCTATTATTGGCCAATTAAAGTATACTATGATGATGGTAAGACAGTTGAAATATATTTCTGTGTATCAATAAAGACAACTGCTTGCATAGATGAAATGCAAAATTGGCAAGGCAACACTGAGAGAGAAAAAGGCAAGGGTCATTGCTTCAGAAAAGTCACAGAAGTCGCTCAGCAGTGTCTCCACTGGCGGACTGGCTGAAGATTAGACCCAGAGACTGCAAAAGTCGTCCGGCATTTCCTGCCTACGTAAAGTTCATGGTTCAGTGGGCACATAGATGACATGTTCAAAAAATGCAGAGATCAAATAAAAATGATGCAGAGGTCGGTGCAAAATCATAGCCCAAATTTGTTCTTGCAGATCTGATTAACCTGCATGGGTTCCAGATATGGCACTAATGGGTCTAAGTCCCAAATGCAGTTTGTCTGGTTTGATAATACTCTGGAAAACCTACCACATCTTGTTAGATGTTAGTCTCCAAGTCCCTCTGCTTATTTTCTTGAATGTGAGAGCATGAATGTTTACTTCTTCACTGTGATAACATCTCTGCAGGCTCCATCATCTCTGCCAGCTCTGTCATCTCTGCCGGCTCCGTCATCTCAGCAGGTTCCATCATCTCGGCAGGCTCCATCATCTCGGCAGGCTCTATCATCTCTGTCGGCTCCGTCATCTCGGCGGGCTCCGTCATCTCTGCTGGCTCCTTCATCTCTGCCGGCTCCATCATCTCAGCAGGCTCCATCACGGAATCCAGCGTGAGAGGTGACAGACAAGAGACAACTGCCTCAGTCTGTATCTTGATGATAGATTTGGGTACCAAACTGTCTCATATGCATCACTGTTCCCTCACCTCAGACTCTAAGCACCTGCTTGGGCATTAAGGACATTGTGAAGCAGATCTATAATGTAGGAACAGCTGGAGGAAATGCTGGATAGCAACCGTCACCACAATAATGAATGTTAAAATGATTGCTAAAATGTCTAATGAGAGATGGTGTTTTTCATAGCTAACATGTAAAATCGAGGCAAGAGTGTGGGAATCAGTCAACCACCACTGGGGAAGTTTGGGTTTTGTTTTGAACTCACATCTTTCTAAAGGCTTTCTGAATGAATTCAGCAAACAGCTCTATCTATAATAACTGAGGTGACGTCTTTCTCTTTCAAGTTTATCGTTTCTTTAAATACGTGTCCTTTATAGTTTATTTATTCTCTTGGGGTTATTTTACAAACTGATATTGCATGTAAAAACCACTGGCAATGGGCTGGCAGTCAAATTTTAAAAAAAAAATCCACCAGACAAAATTATGCAAAACGGAAATCAAATTGACAAGGAATAATTTAAGAAAATAACAAATGAGGGAAAACCAGGTAAATAATAAAACAATAGTTGTCTAGGCTGACAAATACAGTCTGTGACATAAATGATACATGATCTACCAAACAAGGCCATGGTAACGATGGCAACAAGAAGAAGTGCAATATTCAGAGTGACTCACCCAAATGCCTAATTGATACAGCAAACATTTCATGTATATTTCATGATCTGATTTCTACATGGTACTGAAATGTACTGTTTCTTTATTTATATAAATTGCTCATTTTAATAATAGTCACCCCTTTAATTTATAAAGAGATAAGAAACTAATATACCTCCTAGCTTACATAGCAGGTCAACATGACTGAGGCAAAGTATTCTGGGGCCAACAATAGCTCTCAAGTCTACTTTTCAGCAATGGCTTTCATTTCAGCTACCTACCAACATGACTGCCCAATGATACAGGTAAGGATCATTTACATAGATTCAAGACAGCACACCCTGGCTCTCTTTTCGACTCAGACACAGGCGCATGCCATGGCTATTTAAAAGTCTTACCTCCCAGCAATGTAATGAAATGCCAAAACAGCAGGGCTGTCTGGATAGAGCAAGCTAGCACAATATTTGATTGAAAGCTCTTTGGAAAAAGAAATTCCACTCTCTCATTCTCCAAATTGCCCCAGCATCTTCAGCCTAGCTGTGTCCTTTAGAGCAACGCATGAACTTTGTGCCTGCGTCTTTTGGGAACATAAAACCCAAATTTGCAAACATTTTCTTAGGAAACAAAGCTTATTCTCTTTCCCTGCAGAGGCTACACACTAGGGAAGTCCTGGCTGAGTGAACTACATGCATTTTGCTTACAGTCTTGTAGCTTAACTTTCCTCTACTTTGTAGTTTCTAAAACACTTTGCCAGTAATGCTTAGAGTTCTTCAAAATCCATAAGCTGCAAACAAGGTCTCAGTTCTCGCAAAACAAAACAAACATAATGGTGTCCTTATTTTTATGTCCCTCTGGAAATTCACACACACACACACACACACACACACACACAAAGTCTGCCGAGAGAAGGGGGTGAAGGGAGTTTTCTTGAATGACCATGCAGGGTAATTAAAACTCAAGATAATGACAGAACTCAGTGCATTCTCTGCAGAAATCCCAGCAGGCATCCACTCCCTTCCACTGAACCCCAAGATTCCTGTCTTCAAGAGAGGCTGATGGAGCCTGAGTCAGAAGCCCCAGTAGCCCTGTGAGTCCAGCTTAAAATACATATGAAGTGTGTGTCTCAGAACAGCTTAACATCTCCCCAGCTTCATACCTCCAATGTGAGGTGCTCTCTACCTTGGAGAAGGTTCTACTGTATGCCTTTCCCCCCCTAAAACCTAGATTATTCAGATAACTATCCTTTCTAATGAGGAACTTACTACATTTTATCCCAGCTTGGAAGCTCCAATAATTAATATTTTAATTGGCACCTGAAGACAGTAGAGGAGTCTGCAGGAGAGGGTTACCTAGAACAGATGCGGGCTGGTAAGTCAGATCTCATTTGTGTCATCTGACAGCACTGCGGCCATGTATAGTCAACGGTCAAATGCTTCTGGGCTAAAACACAACATTCGTTGTATGCTCCTAAGGTGTTAGCAGCTTCCTTCCTCTTGGCTGCTGGAATATCCCCCTGAAGTGACTAAGGGTGCCAAGATCCTGCCCTTTGAAACAGTTGGAGTCTCTGCAAATAATCACGTCCCTCTTGTTCCCCACGCCTATCCAGCTTGTCCTGTCCCTGTCTACTGCCCCCAAGCCCAGCACATGGGTGTGAGGGCGCCACACACTACTGCTCCATTACTAAGATACTACAAGCTCAAAATGAGTTCTTAGAAATGGAGCCTTTTAGTTTCTGGCAGTTAAAGCGTGCAGGACTCCGGAGCATCCTAGAGAGCCTCCACCTGTCTTTCACACTTTCCATCTCAGTTTCTTCTGCTATTCATACATTATATCCACAGGGCACATTTCTTACAAGTGATGAGCCAGTATGGGAACATTTTATTAGTGCTAAAGGCTTTGGTTTATGTTAAAACTTCTGTCTTTGCATTTAACAGCTCTCTGGGTTTTAAAAATGCAGGCTAGCTACTGATGTGGCTGCTGGTTTCATACGGGTTTCTTCTCTCACTGTCAGCACCTTCTCCCCTCTCCTCTCCCCTCCACCTGAACCCTTGACAGACAGCCATCTTCCTGATGTTTATCCAGCCGTGTCTCTTACACGAGGTCACAGACTTGACCGGATAGAGTAGGTAGGGTTTTAAGACTGGCTTCTTGTACTCGTCAATAGGCAATTAATTTTCTCCCAAAAGGGAGTTCTTTCTTTTTCCTGTTGAATAATATTCTGTCATATAGATACCGACAGAAATTATTGATCCGTTCACCTACTTAAGAACATCATGGCTGCTTAAAGCTGTTAGCTAGGTCTAGAGAAAGCTGACACAAGCGCCAGTGTCTGAATTTTTGTTTTGTTTTGTTTTGATTTTGTTTTTGCATGGGTGTGTTTATATTCGCTTGGTAACTACCCGAGGTTGTAACTCCTAGGCTGGACAAGAAGAATGTGTCTAGTTCTTTATGACACTATCAAAGAGTCTGCCAACGTAGGCACGCCATTTAGCATTCCCACACAATGAGTGAGCATCCCTCTTGCTCCACATCCGCATCGCTAGCTCAGGGCTTTTATTTGGGCATTTTGGTGTTTTGTAGGTTACGTAGTGACACCTCGTTGCGCTAATGTGCAATTCCCCATATGCTGTTTGATTACAGCTTCCCATGTTGTCACTTGGGTTTGCTGGGGTGTCCTCACAGCTGTCCCTTTAGGGCTGTTTTACTTCCCTGGTTAATGTCAATAGGCTTTGAATACTTTGATACAAGTTCTTTATCAGATAATTTCAACTATTTTCTCCTAGTTTCCAGTTTGTCTTCTGAGCCCCTCCGACCTCGCACAGTGGAACACTTTCGTTCTAACACATGTTTCTCTGCCTGGAGAGCGCTTTTCGAGTTGCGCCTCAGTCATCGACAGACCAGGTCATCTGCATTTTCTCCTCTGTTGTCTTGTAGAGATTTTAGAGTCATGCTTTTTAAATTTCAGTATATGATCCACTTCAATTTTGCTTCATTTTGAAATTGTGTGTGTGTGTGTGTGTGTGTTTTCTGGTTTTGTCTCATTTTCTCCTCTGATTTCAACTGAGCACTTTAAGGCCCCATTGGAGTCTTCATTAAGTGCATCAACTGTGCTCCATGTTCTCACTGCTTGTCCGGATCTCACTATACACTCATGATGCCAGTGGCTATCGATATGGAAAATACTTTATAGTCCTGTCATGTCCATTTTTCTAATGCACTTCTTGACACATCATTCTCCTTCTCTCTGGAAAGGTTTTACTTTCTTGAAAGCAGACAAACTTCCTTGGTTTTGTTTGCCTGGACTGTGCCTTGGATGCACACTTCTCTACCCATGCAGGGTCATTGCACAAGATTATGATACACACTTCTCTACCCGTGCAGGGTCATTGCACAAGATTATGATACACACTTCTCTACCTGTGCAGAGTCATTCTACAGGACTCTAGATGCACACTTCTCTACATGTGCAGGGTCATTCCACAGGACTAAGACTTGTAAGTGGGTCATTTGCATGTTTGATTCCATTTCCTTCTATATTGTCTGGTTTCCAAAATGAAATTCAGTGTTTATAATATTCCATTATAAAGTGGTTTTTACCCTCTTTTGGGGTTCAGTATCATTAACCACAAGATAAATTAAAACTACTTTGAGAGTTCATCTCACTTCAGTCAAAATAGCTCTCGTCAATAAAACAAATGACAATCAACGCTGGTGAGGAAGTAGCGAAAGGGCTATGAACTGGTGTGACCGCTGTGGAAATCAGTGTGGAGGTAGAACACTGGGCCCCCATACGACCCAGCTATATGACTCCCCAAAGGACTCTTTATCTGACCATGAAGATACTTGTTCATCCACGTTCACTGCTGTCCTAGTCACAATAGCAAGGAAATGGAAATAAGCCTAGATGTCCTTCATTGATGAATTGATAATTAAAGTATGTTACATTAATACAATAGGCTTTTATTCAGCTATAAAGAAAAATAAAATTATTCAATTTTCAGGTAAATGGATAAGACTAGGAAATATAATGATTTGGGTAACCTAGTTTCCAAAACATAAATACTACATATTCTCTCTTATATGGGATTCTGTCTTCAAAGGTTTAAATATATGCGTGTGTATATATATGTGTGTATGTTTGTGTGTGTGCGCACTTAATTTTGAGCATCTGTAGAGATCAGAAGCCATGAGGGGACAGAGAACATAGGTGGGAAGAAGCAGATGTGGGGAATGCTGGGAGTGGAAAGCTTCATATGAGGAAGGGACTATGAGGGAGTGTGAGAGGCTGGGGGGTGAGGGAGAGCCAAAGAAAGATGTGAGGAGAAGCCATATAGAAGCAAATTAAAATACAAGTTAAAAATTTCTCTGTTTTTACTTTTGTGCGATGTTGGCATGTGTAGGCTGAGGCAAGTCTAGGTAGTTAATATGCATTGTAGTCTTTCCATTTCCTGGATGTCTGCTTTGGAAATTGCCATTAATTCTGGAATATTCTTACTTCAAACATACAT